TTCCCCTCAATTGTGAAGAGAGAGAAAGGGAAGAAATCAGAGTCCCTCTAAGGTCCAGCTTTGCCCTGGCTCTAACTCTGATCTTGTACCACAACTGAGTGATATGATCCCGTTTGTATCCAATTCATAAACATTCTGTGAACATTATATGCTAGCCAATACACATTAAAACATCTCAACCAATGTTGTATGCAAATTTAAGTTTTTAGAAGAACTACAATATTCTTGCTGATCATTGTTTGATTAATAATCAAATTTACAGGATGAACTCAGGTAAAATTTCTGACCAATTCTCCTAGATCTCACAGGAACTAATTTCAGTATTAAGATAGGAAATACAGTAAATACAATTTATTTAAAAGCATAGCAGGAAAAGGAGTAACACTTTTTTTTTTTTGTTTCTCTGATTGCTTTGTTTTTTTACTTAAATGGACAATCCACTTCTTCCAAATATGGGCACTCTCCTGATGCTTTACTGAAGTTTATATTCAGTACTCAATTTACGTGCATTTTTTTAATGTTACCTGGGAAGGAACACTTTTTGGTGGCTCAATTCGTATAGATGGATCCCATTCTCCTGGAGGCAGGACAGTCACTTGGTCTAAAAATTCATCAATTCCTGACAACAAATCATTTCGGTCTTTTGCTTTATAGGCAACATCATGGAAAACCTACAAGAAGAAATTACCAAGCAATGGTGGTGGTTTGAGTATTTGAAAGAAGATGTGATTACAAGGAACAATTCACTATTTTTATAAGGCATGGGAAATTTTTTAAAGGTCCTCAAAAGTTAGGCTTTTACTTTACTTGCATACTTCTGCATTAAGAACTACCTAAAAAAGTTAGGAAAGGCAACTAAAGCTTTTACTATTCACTTCTCACACTGAACACATACCATACTAACAGTAGTTGCCCAATTGTAAAATGTCCAATTTCTGGTTTAATATTTCAAAACTTTAAATAGTTCTAAAGAAATTTTAGAATTTCTGCTTGATAACCCTAATAATTATCAGCAATTCAGCAGGTGGCGCTCAATGGGAAGTAAGAATTAAAACATTCTAATTTTGCTCAGTAAGATGACATTAGTCTTTAAAAGTCCAAATTCCCCCGGGCTCTTCAAAACCATCCACCAGGGCTAAGCATATGACTTCAAATGCCCAGTAACATTCTAATTTTAATTATTTGACCTCACTTCGATTTAAAAAAATATCAGTGATGACTCAATCACTTCTTAAACTTACTGTCCAGAACAGTTATGCAGCTTGCTGTGTCCTTTTTGAAACACAAGAGAGTCATATCAGGCTCAGTTGTATTTCCTAATTTAATACAAATAGAAAATCTATACACCAAAGCTACAATATTTTCTTCAGAAATACATTTAGGATTTCTTCAAGAAAGATAAGAGGAAAAGTTAATTTCCCATTATCTAGTTCACTAACACAAGAAATAAATGAAAAACTGTAAACTTACTTAACCAGTTTGGGGAGAGTTTTTTTCTTCAACCCATCATTCCAGAATACATTAATTAAAATAGTTGGTAAATACATTATTCTAGACTTCTTTAATTACAAGTGTTTAAAATATATCACTCACATCATCTGTCATAAGTGTTGCTATTGATCTTCCAATTTCATGGTACTGTGGAGCTTTTCCTGCTGGTCCCAGCAACAAAAACAAAAACCTGTGGAGAAAGAAATCAAAGAGTACAGCTGACACAATTGAATACACTCAGAGAGTTCTTTCAAACTAATGCTTAAAGAAAATTTATTAGTGAAGTAAAAATCCTCTTTACTATTTCAGATCTTAAAGACTGCTGCAAGACTAAGAAAAGATTCACCTCAAAGTCATTAATGGAAGGAACTCGAATCCTGAACCAAAATTACTCTGAAATCTTCCTAATTAAGCCTAATTTTTCATCTTCTTATGCCTTATACGTAGAAGAAATCCACAGGCTAAGCTCAATGGATACTTCCTCCAGGTTATAAGCCTTTCTGACATTCCCACTGTCAAAGACCTCTTTAGTGAGGGCCCAGGAGCTTTTATGACCTGCTCTAGCCTCTTTGATGATCGATCACCTCTTTCATGGGAGTTAAATCCCTCTCACTTGCTGTGACTGGGCACATTACACACAGATGCACTGATATACTTCAAGCCACACACTGGGCATATTCATATAGGCATATCCCGGTCCTGTGTCAAATGGAAAGGAAGAGAGTCTGCATTTTGAATACCTAAGAAGGTAAAAGTGACGTTTTGGGAAGGGAATTCAATCTGGGTGTGTGTCACGCCAGATGTTAACAGTCTCCATTTCCAACCATAGTAATAGTCATCACACCACTGAACAGGATTAATATCTACTAATTGGAAAGAATACAAGTCAGTGAACCCCCATAATTCTTTTCACGACCTTTTTCCTGTACTCCATGAAAATGAAATTTCTAAGTACAATCAACATACTTTAAAAAAGTAGTGCCTTCTTTCCCCGTACAGTACAAAAAGCTCAATGTCATCTTTCCTTTGCAAGGTGACTACTCTACCTGAAGCTGCATCTTTAGAATCAAGTATGCTATTCCAAATCTGCAAGTCTAAACCACCCTGAAAAATTTAGGACAGGATAATTTCAGCTACATTAATACAATAATATGCATGCAGAAATTTTGGAACTTCCCAAGAAACATTATGAACAACTAGTCTCTGAAAAGTCTCATGTCTATTTATAGAACACCACCAAGATGATTTTTGCCTTTCAATAAGAGTGTATAAATTGAAAATTACAAAGATAAGCAAACACAGATAATTTTAAAATATTAAAAAGAAAACCACCAAAAACATAAATGCACAAATTTATGCCATACACCACAGAACAGACCAGTACATCAATGTGCACAGAAAATGAAGTGTCCTCTACGATGACTGACAAAACAACCTGCCATCTTTATCATGGGACCTGCATTTTGATGTTTGATGATCTGTGGTAAATTTCCCACAGTATACTGTGAGACCCATGATATTGGGTGGATGAGGGTGGGTGCACCAGGAAGGATAGCATATTGCAGATTGAAAACCAAATTTATTATATTAGCTGCAGATTGGTTACCCCAGTGTTAGCCATGTAGATTGAACAAGTAAGTTTTTCCACCACTGAGGTTATTCATATACACATATTTCTATACAATGAGCACAGTTTCAAATCAGACAGACTTTCAGACTTTGTGGACCCTTTCCCACTGCCACTCTGTGTCATGCTGAAGGGATCTATAGTAATTTCATGCCCATCTTTAAAATGGCAACACAAGCTTGGAAAATTCATTGCTTTTACTCCAGGTCAATTTCAACTTCTGCACTTACTTAAGACAGGGTCATTATATATATTTAAAGCATTCAGAGAATTTTATGGCAGATCTTAGTCCTTCAAATTTTGCAGCAAATGACATCGTATTAAAAAAAAGTCTTCATTTCTTGAGCTTAACAGAGTATGTATAAAAATGTACAGCTTTTTGAGATCTTAAATATTATCATCTTATTGTGTAAGTAAAGCCAGACTTTCTAAGCATTTATTTACCGTGTAGGAACTGGAACTTCTGTGAGACCTGAGAGAAGTACAGCTGGGGAGAGCCTCACAAAAGCAATAATAGGTCTTTCTAAAAAGTCTACTTCTCCCACTAACACATTTGACGCTTCTGCTCCTGCAGGAATTTTCCTCATGAAGTTCATATCAACCTATTCATGCAAAGATGAAACAAGGGTTTATACTCAAGTTTACTTAAGTTTATCAGTATTTACTAGACATTTATGCTACAAAGAAAAATAAAAAGGCAAATTAAATATCCCACAGTACAGGAAAGACAAACGTATGTAGAAAACATCAGGCAGCCAACTAATAAACTATTCTCTAAAAGGTAGAATTACTACCACCTACCATATTCTAGAAGACTCCAAACTGCATAACCACCTTTCTAATATTACTTATCATGACAAAGATTCTGTGATAGGACATAATAAAATCTATGCACAAAATTAACTAAGGAGAGTTCATGTAATTACACATGGTTTCTAGAATGCAAGTAGTTGTTTCACAGCTGCACATTTCAAATAGGTCATGATTTTGAAAAATAATTTGTATGTTTGTTTTCATCCATGAGGAATATGATGGCTGAAAATATTAACATTCATTTCTGTAACTAATTATAGAAGAGCATTAGAAAATGGTACAGCACATGAACTCTGTTCACACACAAACACAAGCACCAGTTGCATAGCTATCTAGAAAACTTACAAGTGGCCTCTTGAGTCCCACACCAAGTGTGCCACAACTACAGTGCCAGGAGGCTGACTCCTGCCCAACAGGAGACAAGGCAGGTGTACAGAAGGACAGGCCAAGCAAAACCACAAAAACTGTGACAGAGGAGTAGGAATATATGGCCCCTGCCATGCTTAGATCTGAACTACGGTGTAAGTTAGCCTTCCTTAAACCAATAAATTTTTTTCCTTAAAGCAATTAATAATTAACCAATTTTCTTAGTGTTTCACAGTACAAATGACACTAGAGATGGAACTTGCCCAGCAAATATAACTTACGAAAGAAATACAAAGGATTTAGATTATGACACAAGATTTCCTTCAGAAAGTGGTATTATATACTCAAAATGATTAAGATGTACAATAATAACTTTTCTACAGCAAACTCATAAAACATGCAAAGTAATCCCCTTTAAAAGCCCTCTTTACAAAAATCCCAGAAAGTCAGTCCTAGGAAAAATCTTACAACACCATCTATAATATTGTTTTTATAAAAGTCTTTATAGTAGATCTGAAAATACCTCCTTCTGCATGAGAAAGTACTCTTGAAGTTACCCTAATACTGAAAAGATCATCAAAGTAAACAGAAAGTTCCATCCATTTCAAAATATTTGACACATTTAGCCTACACTGTATTCTGGCACTTGCACATACAAGTTACAGCTTAGTACATGTGTCTTGTTCACATTCCTACAGTGTACCTATATGTTTCTTAGTTGTAAATAAGAGAGAAGTTACAACCACATTTTTTGTTACATAGTTATTGTGTGCTAAACATTAAGGTTACTTACCTTACTAAAATCAACTGTGCTATTTTCTCTGCTTCCTCCTGCCCCGGTACCTTTAACGTCTCCACTTTTCCCAGTGTCTAAATTTCCAGGTGCTGACTGTGGAGATGCTAACAGCCCTAAATTAAAACAAAGGGCGTAAATTCAAAATGGTGTATGAAGTAAACTAAGTATGCGACACTACCAACACTCAATGTGGCAGCTTGCTTAAAGCAAATGTGCAAGTTATTCAGTCAGGGTGCCCTACATTAGTATCGTAAATGCAACATTAACAAGTTACTGTGTTGTCAAAATACTGACATCACTAAAACCATAAGTATTGCCCAAATGATGGCCATTTGCAGAACAGTCACCAGAAAACAAGAGCTACTTCAAATGCAGAAAAAAGAACAACTGCTGACATTTTAATAGTAACTGCTCTAGCAGTTAGCAGACAGCATCTTCACTATATTTAGAAGTCCTCGAAGACAAAAAGCAAACACCCCTGCTCTCTAGTCTGCTCTACAGCAGTTATTTCCATTGTAAAAGCCCTGGCAAGCCACAGGCTACAACTACAAGGAACAATACCCCAGTCATTAACTAACTTGCACAAATAGACCGTGTACTACATGAAGGATAGACAGCTTGCAAATCATGATTCCCACCTATGGGCCAAAGCTCCAAGTATTGACCTGATCAGACGATACTATATGAAATAGTGTCTCTAATATATTAGCTGAAGAGGCACGTGCAATGAAGCTTTTAAACATACAGCTTCCTTTTAACACCTGCAAGACAAAACTGTTTTATGTAGCTTGCCATGCTATTAGCAACACTGAATTGCAGGTTCATTGAAGGGTGCAAAAGGCAAGTAACCCATCTGTTGGCACACCTGAATTCCATGTTGTGCCATGGATATCCCTTCCCAACTACCATTTAAGAGCTGGTTTAGGCATGCATAACCAAGCCCAAATCCCATCTTTTGCACTACAGAGCTTTTACTTGTTCAGTTTAACATGCACTAGAAGTGCATTTGGCCTTGCTTGTCTACACTAGACCTTTCAGATATGGTGATAAAATCATGCTTTAACATGCTTTCAAAACCACATCAGACAATGAGTAAAGTCTCAACATTGTATTACATGCAGAAACTTTGTATTTAGGCCAAGCATCACTCTAGTCACGATAAAACTGAAGTCCTCACTGGCTACCTTTTGGTTATTGTTTTATCATAACTACTATTGTGTAACTAATTGCATCCTTCCATGTTTATAATCTAGCAATTTGACAATTTTTAGCATTTCAAATGACAACTGAACTAACTTTATTTGATCCCCAAATTTAGTTCCAAAAACCTCAAAGAGCCATCATATCAAAAAACATGCAGGTCCAAGCCTTTACCATTAATTTTCATTCTTACAGTTCATAAGGATGTAAGTGGTGTGGGTAGCTTTTCCTGAAGCAAAAACCAAATGAAGTTAGTAAGCTGCAATTTCCTTGTGAATCCTAACATGCACAAGTAATTAGCTAACACTAAAAATACAACATTAGGTTAGCTAGGGAAAACAAAAACAGTCACATTCTACCATTCTGCTCCAAGATGTATGTGCTATTCACAAGAATGACTAACAGCAATCAACCACCTGCGACATCAGCTGTTCAGAGCATTTAAGTGCATGAGAGTTGGATGTTAAGATGTGTTTGTAGGACTAGAAATAGATCAGAAATATTAAGCAGCTGTTGCAGAAGAGCATAATATAAAACTTTATACAAAGTTTTTTTACGTTTTCCCCCCTTACATAACAATAAAGGCAACTGAAGAAGCATACAACTGATGAAAGATGACAATAATGCATCATTTAGCCCTTTACACAAATGCCCTGTGAGCAAGAGCAAGCAGAGACTAGAACAAAAAGTGGAGAGACAACCGAAGAGGATAGAGAATAAGGATTCTACACATTAGCATAAACTAATATATTTCAGTGATACCAATTCTTCCAAAAGGTTTGCCTTCAAAATTTCTCCAACCAGTCACAGTTAAGGTTCATAAGTTTTGGCACCAATACAGGAACATTTGTGTGATTTTAAACTATGTGTAAATAACTTTCCTTCTGTTGGTCTTGCAGCTGGACTGACTGCTCTGCTCACATGGGAAGACTGCTAGGGTTTCAAACCTGATCAAGCATTTCCGTATGATACTGCATTTCATTATGTATATCAATCAGGCTGATATTTATTATCACCTCTAATAGTGAAACACTTTTACTGAAATCTGTCACTAATAGAACAACTTCTTTCCTTGTCCTTTCCAGTTCAGTAGATACAAACCCAAAGGCTACTGCTGAAAGGAAGTCTACCTAGTAATTCTTCTAGACCAAAGGCAGAGAAACTCAGTCTTACCAAAGCTACCAATGGGATCTTTAAAAATACAGTTTTCTTCTTGATGTTGTTAGTTGGGCAGATATACCACCTGCCTCCTTTGAAAGACAACAGTTGATCAAGTCTTGAGTAAGTTTGGATTAAAACATCTTAAGATCACTCAAGTTAAAAGTACTGAAAGCTACACTTTTACTAAAGGTCGTGCATTTTTTAGCCAACTACACTTAGTTTAATAATGTGAACATAAAATCTAATGGACATTATCTACTGGAAAAAGAAAGCAAGAAGAATACAGACATTTGCCTCACATCTCTGCTTCAGGTAAAAATAAATATGTTGGGGAACTAAGATGAGTTCAAGACTTAAGCATGACTATTCCAACATAATTATGTTTATACAGGCAAAGTTGATGAAACAAAACTTTCAAATACAAACTCACAGTGTATTTGTATCTAAGGAAATAAAAATCAATTTTAAAAACTAAATTCCAATGCAACCTTAATGTGAAAAATATTAAAATTACTCTTAGAATGCAAATACGTACATCTTTCTGAATTAGTATTTTCAGTAAGTTATTACTGTAAGAGCAAAGCTGCTCTAAGTATTATTTTACACAGTTTTAAAGTACATTTACCAGTGAACCAAAAGACCTCTTAAAACAAGATGCTTTGCTGTTGTTCAAAAACATTAAGCAAGCTTAATGATACTGGTGTATTAAGAGTCTTCACCTTTAGCCGTGACACAGGTCTCTCTCTCTTCCTGGCTCTACCTATGGAATTCATTATTCAACAGTTTCAAAGATGGGAAAACAAAAGCTGTTCTTCAACTGATGACAAAAGAAAAACAATGTTAAAAGAACCCTTTGCCTGGTTGACCTGTTATGAACTGATGACTGGCTGATGAAAAGTGGTAGACTGAAAGCATGTCCCTCTTCCTTCCTCTTACAGCAATTCACATTAAGTTCAGTAATCTTCCAGTTATTTATAAAGACCAAAAATAAAGTCTGAATAACACCAGGTCAAAGATAGATGAATGCTACACAGGCGAAAATCACCTATTAGAAAATTAACATGGGTCCTAATGCTCACAGGAGGCAAACAGGGAAATACAAACCATAACTTATAGTGGAATGGACCAACGGCTTGGGGAAGAGTGGCTGGAAAGCTGCCTGGCAGAAAAGAACATGGTGGTGCTGACTGACGGCTGCTGAACATGAGCCAGCTTGTGCCCAGGCAGCCAACAGCATCCTGGCCTGTATCAGCAATACTATAGCCAGCAGGGCCAGGAAGTCATAATCAAGAGATTAGTCCAGTTGAAGCCCTCAAGTCATAGTCTGAGAGTATCTTCAAAGCCAAGTCTACAGAAAATGCATCTCTCTGTTCAGATGATTTCTTGAATTAAAAGAAGGGGGGAAAAAAACCCCAGAAAACAAAAACATCTTCCATCATTATTGGTGTTCATCTTTCTCTGGGAAAACTTTTATTTATGGATTAACTAGGAAATCATCCCTGTCAGATTCTCCCTTTATGTGAAACATAAAGGCACAAAAGCAATTTGAACATGACTTGGAGATTCTGGTGGAAAGCTCTGTTGGTCATAATAGCATCAAGTATTTGATCTTCATTTGCTTGCTTTTTCTTAGGTTCTAAAGACCTTGGGTCTGGCACACTGTCATTCCTGTCAGTTGAGTAGGAAAAAAAAAAAAAAAGGAACTGGATGACTGATTACAGCTGTTTTCCTTCTGGTTTTTTATCACCTTTGAAAGATCACCCATGAGAGAGAATGATCTTAGTGTTAATTCTCTTAATTTCCCATAAAGAAGTGAGAGAGAGTTTTCTGTTTGCTTTTCTGAATCTAACTAAGGACAGACTCCTACTCCAACTCAAGATAACAGCCTACAATATAGCTTGCTCTTTCCTTCTCAGTGATTTTGTTGCAAAATGTGAAGAAAGAGTTATAGATAACCACAGCCTTTTCTCTGTCAGCATATTTTCACTGCTAGATGCAGCAGTGTGCTCTTACTTGTCAAGTAAGTGAGGAAGGAAACCAAGAAAAATATCCCACACCCCAAACCCTTCCCACACACACAGGAGGAGCCCAAAAGCTAAAAGAAATGATCATAAAACCATTACCTATGTAGAAGAATCCTGAAGTCTCCAAATAACTAATAATTTTGCAAAAGTAAAGCAAATATAGCAGCATGCATGCAGAATGCACAAGTTACTAAATATTTAAAAGCTATAAAGGAAACTGTCAGAACTATCTATCCTTTTTTTCAACTTATCTATCCACCTACCTGCCTTTTCACATGTGAAGAGCAACAGCTTTGCAAGCCAACAAATTAATAAATTGCTGAGCCCTGACCTCCCAACCTACCATTATAACTCTTACCTACCTTACCCTATTTTGCATATCTAACACAACAAAACAATAATCAAGTGCTGGATACTGAAGCAGAGCACTAATGTATAGCTATCTGGAAACAGCTTCAGATGAACTGAACCTGCCAGTTCCATCATAAACTGCCACTGTCTTAAAAGAACAAAAGCAAAAAGAAAACTGCTTAAAGACTTCAGGATACAAGGGACATCACTGATAATTTTATCTTTCATATTCTTTTCATATTCATCTCTAACACTTCACTACATCTTTGGCTGTAGCTATCTCAGGATATCAAACACTGGTTTCAAATACTAACTCAACCACTGACCACAAAAAACAACAAAGCAAAACCTGACATGGGCTGTAGGTGAGTGAAAGGAAAAGGCCACCATTTTTGACATTTTGCTTATATGTTATCTTTAAAAACATTATTCCTTTTTAATTACACAAATGAAGGTTAATTAAAGAACTTATTTTATTTTTTGCTGGCTTTTGTTAAAAGCTAAAAAGTTAAAAATGCCAAACAAGGAAACAATCACAACCGAGAATAAATAAAACATGCAGGCAAAAGTAACAGTTATCATATTCCTTTGTGCCAAAGTTATGTGCCAAAAACATCGCAATGCAAGTGATCCAGATGCAGACAGCATCACACACGGACAGCTTAAATTGCAATAGTTGCCTGGTGTTTTGTCAGTATTTTCCTTTGTCTTCTTTTCATGGCTTTCCTGAACTTCTAAGTCCTCCTCAGGTGGGTGGATTATTACTGAAGGAATATCATCACTGGCAGGTGACACCAGCAATTCCTTGCCCTGCAGTGGACTTGGCTGGGCACTTGTGGTTGGCAGGTGGCTGCAGGTAGGACTGGAGGGTGGTGTGTTTTGAGGGGTAGTTATAGGGGTTGTACACCTTGAGGCTGACGGGGTTCCAGCTCTCGCAGAAGGAAGAAGGTAATTGAGAAGAACTGACAAACGGTTTTCTCCTCTCAGGGAAATATTTGAGGCAGAGAGACCTGTTCGCAAAGAGTGGCGGGAGGCTGAAAGGCCTTCCCCCAAGATAAAACAAATGAAACACCATGAGGCTTAGAACAGGGCTACACTAAAAAACAACACAGACACAAATATGCATTAACAATTTACATAGTAAATTGCAAGGTTTACGGGCAAAAAGTGTCATACCCATGCAAGTAAGACAAGAGAGAAAAGCAAATCTGATTTCACACAATAGGAAAGTAAGAAATTACTGATGACTACTAATTAGAATGGCAAAGATGTGGGAGAAGATATTATCTTAAAATCAGTAATATTTGTTAATATAACAAAAGAAAAAAAAAGGAAAGAAAATTGTATCTCTTAAAACTGACTCTTAAATTTTCCTGGAAAGACTTCTTATTCCACATTGCACAGCAGCTACCTTTAATGCCATCCAAAAATTATATTAAAAGAATTATCAGCAGCCAAAACATTACAAGACTTCAGTTAACTGCATCCATTATATACAAAGATTTGTTAATTTTTAAAATTAAAATACTTCAAATTGAACATGATCAAACATATCTAATCATGTTAAATGCAACTGTCTTCCAATAAGTCTGGGTTTAACAAGAAGTTTCCTAGTCAGTTGTAGTCTCAATAAATATTTTTGAAGAGGGCATGAGGAAATGCATTATCCCTTCTGCATCTCCTCTTGCTGTGACTTACCAAAGAGCCCAAACTGCATAAAACCATGATCCAAAATTCACTGTTACTTTTCTTGCCCTATCCACTTTCACTGTCCCACTAATTTCACATAAAGAGAACATAGTCTTGTCATGTTGCCCTCAGATTTAAGTTTGTAATGGATTTCAGTTCTTCATTAAGCAGGAAGAGAATGTTTATCCTTGTATCAGTACTTCCATTAGAAGGTTTAGCGATACCATTTCTCCCACAAAACCACAAACAGTTTTCCTGGGATGGCAGTCTCCTCAAGAAGAGTACTGATTACTTCTCCTACAATCCCTGAAATCAAAAACATGCTGTTTTCACGTACCACACCATCAAGCAAGGTAACAGCAAACTAGAACATTTAGTCTCACATTTATACTAGGCACTACAGAGACCAATACATTGAATACTCCTAGAATAATTTACAAAGAGAAGGCATGGAAGTATGCCTACGTCACATACAATTCCCCACCCCCCTAACAATGGAAGAGTGTATCCTACAGATACAAACTTGATTTAAATTAAGAACAAAAACCTCAAAGATTAACTGTTAAAACTGCAGTGCAGTAAAGACAAGAGGACCAACAGAGCAAACTGGTTGACTTCATCTATATGAATCACTACAGTAATAACTAGACTTCTACAAGAGTATCTGTGATGAATCATGAAAATGAGATATCCTAACACACACATGTAATAAGGGGCCTAAAAAGTATTATGCACATATGCAAACCAAACTGGTTTGGTTTACCAGTTTATTAGAGGGTAACCATAGGATTATAAAGAAAAAGTAAATTGGTATATACTGGCAAAAAATTAATCATGTTATACTGGTTTCTTATTTAAGCATCTATCCCACATTCTGTTGTGGGAACAGTATTAGGAATAAAATACACTGGAAAATGGAAGTGAAACATGAAAAGGAACTGACAAACAAGAGACCTTGAATACAAAATTCTGAGCATTACCATTGGGGATACAGGTGTTCAAGGATGGGTAAAACCAAGTTTCTATGTGAAATTTTCATGTTTGCTGAACAAAACAAGGAAGTCAGAAGTTATAGAAGAAACTATACTCTTACGTAGATTAGTTGTATTTTCATTCTAGAAAAATAATTCTGAAACTATCATGGAAATATTTATGCATGCATCATATATTCACTAGCTAACAAAGTACCAGCAAGCTTGGACTTTTGCTGGAGCATACTCCAAGCAGATATCAAACTGAGAGGTCCCAACAAGCGCTTAACTAAATGGAACATGTAAGCAATGAACCTCACCTCAAGGAGTGATTCATGAAATCTGTATTAAGTTTTCACTACACTAAAAAAAAATCTCTGCTGAAATTGTATGTCTGTTAATGCACAGCAAAAAGAAAACAAAGGACAGAGACGGAAATAGCAGCCATAAGAAATATAAGAACAAAGTATGCTTTGCTGCAGTATATACTGCCACTTGGATTTTGCAACTGGGTATCTAGAGTAAATAGTTTTATATTCCAGTATATTTTCAGGAACTGGTTGAATAAAAAAATGTGGTACAGCCTGTAAAGAACATTGCAAATAGCTTTCTAGGTTTTGGATTCCTCCCTTCCCTATTAGATCCTCCTCTACAATACAAGGTAAAAAATAGTGCAGCTAAAAGTAGTTTCTCCACCATTAGCACTGAACTTTTTCTAGTCACATTAATATAACACTGGATTAAAACACAGTAATTGTCAGCATCACTGAACTCACGAGATGACAACAAATCTCTAGCATAAAGACTGAATAAGCAAGTAGGATCCATCTGATAAACATAAAGCTATGCCACGATGCTGAAACACCTCAAACATTACACATTTTATTCAAGCATATCCTAAAACACGTTAGGACCCATGTAGGTCTACTTCTATACTTCAAAACACTAATGCATGCTATGTATACAGGCAGGACTAGAATGCTTGAGTAGATTAAAAAAATATACAGAAATATCAACCACAGCTACACATAGAACACACCATTATCATTAGTTCTTTGCTTATCAAGAAGGAAACACTTATCTGCTATTACCAGCTGAGTTTTCCTTCATCTCCCAGTGAGAACACTATTTAACATGTTAGAACAAACTGGATGCTACAACTTCTCTCACCATTTCGTTCAAGCAAGTGAGGGTCAGAATGTTTCTTGCCTATATCTGCAAAAGACCGAACCAGAGGAATCCGACTGCTGAACTTTTTCTCATTCTGATGATGGTGCCTCTTCAGAAGAGCCTGTCTCACATTCTCTCTTATGGATTCATCCAACTGGCCAGAAGCAATCATGTTGTCCAAAACCATATCTGTATAACAACAACAAAAGAGAAAATCATATACATTGCTATTGAATCACTCCTTTACCACACTCAAGCACTGTAGTTTCACCAAACAATAATTAAAAAAAGGAATCTTTTTTTTTTTAACGAAAAAAAAAGTATTTTCTTTAGCAAAGTCATCTTCAAGAATCCACAGTAGCATCATTTTAAGAAATGTTACTTAATATTTTACAGTCCATTGCCATGTACTTCAACTTCAACAGTGATTCCTTTTTCAAAAAATGCATCTATGTATTAAACAACTCTCCGCTAGAAAATGAAGACACAGAGACATGGAGAACAGACTGAAGACAATCCTAACCTGGTGTTCCCTGTTTTGAAAGTATACAACTACATAAAACTGAAAGTTATTACAGAATGAGATTAATTGCCTGCTCCTCCGCCATCTTCAAACACCTTAAGTTCCTGAAGCTCTCTACCAACATCATGGGATTTGCATGCTTTAAAAGAATGGTGAAACAAAAGCTACTTTCATCATCTAAAACTAACTAATCAGCTGTCAAAACAACACCAAGTTTCAAAAGGGCATCTCAGCAGTATGCTCACACCAGGAAAGAAAGCCTGTGTGTTTGGGAAAATATATTGGGTGACTTCTTAGCTGCTTTTTCTGTTATTGTTTTCATTAATTTAAAAATTAATTGAATTAAATTATAAACCAAAACATTACTTTTTAAAAACATGTACTGAACACTCTTGCTCACTAAAGTCAGGAAAATAGGAAGGGAATACAAATATCCGGTGTGAATTTCAAAGATTTCAAAATAAAACAAGAAAACATTTCAAGCACTGCCAAAGTTTTTAATGCCAAAACACCTTGTCCTTCGCATACATGTTTGTCAGCCCTAAACCTAGCGTGATTCCTGAAAAGGCATTCCACTGTGTGGTACCTGTAGCAAGAGATACCATGAAAATTATGAAAAATTAGTTTAAAGGCCTGCAGGCTAAGCAGATCACATTTCTATCTATGTCAATTTTATATTTTGATATATCTATATTTATAT